AAGGCATTTGTTGGAAGGCAACGATATGTGCGTGTGTGTGCGTGCGTGTGCCGGCGAGTGACTGCTATGCGTGAAAGAGGCGATGCGTTTTTCATTTGTTTTATTCTTCCTCTTTTGGTCAGTCGTTGGTTGTCTTTCCTCGTTGCATAACTGTATTATTCCGGATAAAATAAACGTTCCAGTTATTTCTATCTTTGTGTTTGTGTCAATTCTATTTTCCCCTACAGCATTCGTTTCTTCTTCCATGGCATTAATCCAAAAATCTTGTTCACTGCAAGTAACTGCTTCGTTATAATCGAAAGATAGCTTTTCTGCACTGAAAGTAACCTAAAAGTAATTATAAAATTGTATATGTTTGATTGTTCGAATATCACGAAGCTGTTTTATTATGTTGCCGTTTTCAATTGAAGTTGGTAGAAGCTGCTGTACTTGATCTTTACTATCGTTATCAACTATCGTATTTTTATAACTATCTACATTTTCGTCATTAGATAAATTTCCTCTAATTTTATCACCCTTTTGAAATGTATTTATATTAATATTACTTGCTATTAGTCTCTCCGGTTTAAATAATACATCGCGGCTGAAAAGTACGTCTCGTAAACTTAGTACATATACCCGATACCCTTTGCAATTTTCAATGTAATTTTCAATGTAAACTAAATAATCTTTCACAGATTTTCTGTCCAGCTTTTTCCTTTTTTCAGACGGCACATGCACAAAACATTCTGTCCCGAATATTTTCAAATTTTCTATATTTGCCTCTTTACCGTACCATAACCCATACGGGGTTTGACCTGGCCGTTTTGACGATCCCGATCTGTTAAGGACATACGCGGCTGTATTCATCGCTTCAGTCCATAACGACAACGGTAATTCTGGCTTCCAGTATAACATTGACCGCACGGCCTTGGCTATTAATTCGGTTTTCCCGCTCTGTGACACCATTCTGTTGAGGTGTATACGGATTCTCAACTTGGTTACAAAATATTTGTATTTTATCGATCACCTCTGATTTCTGTCGCATAAAATGAATCTGTCTAAACGCGGAATAATCATCCTTAAGAATTAGAAAATATCGTTTTCTGCCAAGTGATTCGTGCCCCATCGACCCGCATACGTCGGCATATATAATCTCGCGATATATCGTAACGCGATCGCTCTTGTCATGAAAACTAAGCTTATGATGTTTCCCATAAGCACAACCTTCGTAAAGAACGTTATCCTCTATAGTATGAATACCCTTGTTTTTCAGAAAATAGCTGACATATTTGTAGTTTTGATGACATAATCTTTCGTGCCATAATTGTAAACTTTCATTACGAGATTTTACACATACTTACTCGCTTTTAACATTTTCGGCTAAATTACATTCTTTTCGTGTTACAACGCGTAAATGTATTTTGAATAAAATACGAAGCCAAATCGAGCCAGTCGCTGTAACTGCTCCGTCGCGTGAAAATACACATTTTTTTCGTATTCTGTAATCAGAATATCGATCACGTGATCAACCTCTTTCCTAGTGACGGAAACTAAGTAATTATCGGAAACAGATTTTGACTCAGTTTCAGTACAAATAAAACGTTATACATAATGCCCGGTATCCATTTTCCGTCTGCATATATTTCGATTTCAATGAAATAATCTTTTCCATACGCTGGGGTAAAATTTCCATTACCTAACTGAACGGTAACCGGCATTTTAAACTCTTCGAGATCTTGTCGGTGCATCATGTGATCGATTGCTCCTGAGTCGACCAGCCAGACGTTCTCACCTATGAGTTAACTGCTACTTCCTACAAAAGCCTGCTTATGGTCCCAGGTCTGCTGCATAGTACGAGCATCATCGATGTTTCGCGTACGAGAGTTTCCATTCCTCTTGAAACAGTTCCTGTTAAGGTATCCTTTTGTTCCATACACATGGCAACTGACACGATCTTTCCGTATATGGTTTGCTGTTTTGCCGCATTGCTAGCACTCAGAAAAAATTTCTCTTCCGACGCTCATCTTGATTCGATTTGTTGCGATGATTATTCTTCGGAAACGATGTATTTGCCGATCTTCGTTTCATCAATAATACCACCGTCATATCCTCGGAGCTGTCCTGTTCTTGGGTTCTAACTTCCTCCGCCATTAATCGTGCCGTGAAATTTTCGAGGATCTTCTTTTTATCTTCCACGGAATCCCGTGCACAAGTAGAAATCCCATGTGAAAGCGACTCAATTTCTTGCGTAATGTTGACAATATGTGTGTCAATATCATGGCATCCGGAACTGCACCGTCTAGGCTCTTCATTTTAGTTGATAAGTGCTCAATCTTGGCTAAATTGTGATTAATACTTTCATCTGAGTCCCATTTAAAATCGAAAAATTGTTTCTGCGCTATTGATAAATTTTCGTCAGACTTCATATCGTAGACTGAATTGAGGTTCTTCCACATCGCCCGTGCAGTTGTACAGCTCAAAAGTAAGTCTAGAGGGTTTTTTTCGACCGATGTTACGATCAACCTGCGAGCTGATTTATCAGCCTTTGAAAACTTTTGTAGATGGACTTGATAATTTGCTGAATTTTCAGCTGGACGTCTTCCTTCGCAAACACTGAGCATATCATCGCCTTTCTCTAGCAATGTACGTATAACGCACAACACACTGCACTTTTTAAGAACAAATTATTCACACTGATTACTTGTGTGATAACCTGGGCCCATAACCTGTTAAGGGCTTATAAGGAAATAGCCAGTGGAAACGGTGAAAAACTGTCTAGATGTTTATTAAACGGGCGAACGGTTAGAACTGGCCTGTATGTTTAGGGCCACGCAGGTCAAAGACGTTACCAGAAAACGGGAGACAAAAAGACACGCGTTGACAAAAGACAAAACGCAGGGAAAGGGATCGCCCCCACATCGCTAGAATGTAGAATTTATTTTAGTATTTAGTTTTTACTACAACATTACGCGACGGCATTTAAAATTTGGCTGACAATAAGGCTTGCAGAGGTCGAGACCTGTTCGCGTGCATTAGTTTGGATAGGACAAGCATTGCAGAGGTGGCCATAAACGGAATGTAACAACGACGCGGTCACTTTTCAAAAGAGTCCTCCCGCGAGCACTTCATACCGAAGGAGGGCTTTCCTCCACTATCGTCTTCGATTAAAGACACACAATTTCACAATTTCTTCTTCTTCAAGATGATTCAAGGTGAGAGGAGTCCTCCCCCCACGGTGGTACCGTATGGTACTTTGGAAGCTTCCCCCCCCCCCCCCCCGGTTACTGAGAGTTTATATCATTAGCTGCTTTCCCAGGGACAAAAGGATCGACTGATTGTCGAGCCGACGGATCCACTCGTCTGATCTGTCGAGCTCTGGGTCTCGAGCAGGAAGCTTGACCGTGCAGTCCAAAAGCTTGCTACCAAATATACGGCGCCAAATCAGAGATGTAGGACCGAGGGTCACTTATAGGTTCTGGTTCTATGCCTGGAAGAGGTAGCGATGACATTGTGCCGACTGCTCCCTGACCCAGGTGGGTGAAACTAGAGCGTTGGTCACCTCAGCATGAGAGTCGACCGCTCTATGACCTTTTTCGGGTCCTCGGTTTAGGCAAGCGACCTGGTAGGCAGCTGAGTTGCAATAACCTCTGCAGCATCGTAAGAAGGCTACTGTAGAGTTACCACACGATTACACACCATTGGATCTACCAGCGGAGTGGGACGTTCGCGTTTATGAGCTCCTACGAAATGACGGAGCTCGCGCTGAGGAAGCTTTCGAATGGAAGCGATAGGTTCGGCGGAGCATTGTCGGGACTCTTTTCTCAATTGTGCAGCATAGATTAATCTATCGCACCACGCAGGTGCTCGCCAGGCATGATTGTTTCGGTGAGAGTACCTGCACTAAACAAGATGGAAGGAGGCTGCGTAATAGCATCGTTACGGGGCCGATCTGGACACGGCGCAATACACTATCATTCCCCAGATGGTGTGTAGCAAGAGATCATTGATGGAGACATTCTTCTTCTGTGATAATAATAATAAAAGCGATTGAGTGGAATTAGGGCGCGCCTTTCAAGGGACATGCCGTGGAGGATCACCCACCTCTAGGGGGGTGACGATGCCCTCTGTGGGGCTTTTAAAAATCCCACATAATCTCATACGCTCCCCTAAGGAATCGGATATAAAGATACCCAAAGGAAACATTTTCCTCTTGCAAGGAAAAAAGAAAGTAGCTAGTTTGTCCTTAAATTGTACATTAATAATTGAAGGGAATAGCCCCGTCAACGACGTTATAATATAACGTCATGCGTGCTGTATCACTTTCATACTGAATCATTGTGATAGTTTTTATCCAACAAAGATAAAAATTATTTATGTTTACGTACAATATCATCGTTGTAGGAATATTGTTCATATAATAGAACGTTCAAATAACAGTGGATTCATATAATGGAGGTTCTACTATAATATGATAATCTACAAAACTCATCGAAACGAGAAGGTATTTATGGCGAAATTTAACTGCGATTTTTACTTGTCAAATATACGTAACATATGTGCGACCATAGGTTAACCTCTAACGCATCGAGAAAGTAATTAATTTTTATTGCACAAATACCTTATGGGTTACATAATTTACAACGAGAAAGTGGAAATGGGAATCTGTTGAATTGATAAAACTCGATATAACTGAATTTATTCATTTGTTATTCCTAAATTTGTTTCGCTCAAGAGTTTCCCTTTAAACGTATAAGATGTCGGAATATTCGGCATGTACGTTGATATCTTGAGATCTATTTTCTAGAAATTGTTAATCGTGATAAAAATATGTTTTCTTCTCGATGAAATACTGCGTACAAATAAATGTTTATATCTTTCTCATAAATAACGATAAGAATATGTAATATCTGTTATGATAAAAATAAACGCAAAGAAACTTTCTTATACTGTCAGTTGTGTTATAAAGTAAATTATAATAATGAAATGTGTATATTTAAAAAGGAACAAAGAACACTTACCGCCGTGTTCTGCAACCTTCTTCAACATTTCAGGTGGTACGTATTCGTGAGGAAGCTCTTGAAAAACTTCTTGACCGCCTTGACTTACATTACCGCTGCCAGTGAAAATAAAGGTTAACGGCCCAATTGATTTTGGCATAGCACCTAATGCTATTTCATATCCTGCGTCTCGTATAGCTTGTCGTGCCATCGCAGAATCTCTATAATTATGTGCTGGCCCAATATACTATTAAATAGTAATAATCATTATTAAATATTCATAAATATTCATACTTGTATATAGTTGATTGGAATGGTATGACGTATACCTAAATTTTACTACGCGACACAATTAATATTAAAATGTTAAAATACAAATACCTTGAACATTTACAAGAACTTATACTTCTCATAAATCATTGTTAATAATCGGTAACGTAAAATTCTATTCCAAATTGACATCGCTGATTTTCTTACTCGATCACTTCTGCCCTTGGAAATACATCAAATTATACGATACTTTCGAAAATCAGTGCACTACTTTTTAGACCTTGCTAATTTTACGAACACGTTATATCGTTCGAACCAACTGTTCGTATTATTGACAATCACATATCACACATTGGAGTAATTTTTGGAATCCCATAAATTATCCCTTTCGGTACGAGCGCCGGATATATCCGGCATCCATCTGTGTAGAATTTTATGTAAATATCTTTTTATATTAAAGCTACAAACAATACTTGTTGGAAAATGTTATTAAGCACAGTTCTTACTTAACGCTTGAGAAAATCTTCGTACGAAAGAGGACTGACCATGCGTTATGTGCGCATTTTCGGCGCAGCACGTGCGCGTACTCCCGTACAGCGGGAGTGTCACGGCGGACAGCGCGCTCGTACCGAAAGGGTTAAACACAAGGTAAACCATTTCCAAGGTTCTTTTAGTTAATCGATTAACTCGCATTGTACACGTTTGAGAGCAAATGTTTGAAATATTTTCAAATAGCGCAATTGTTGAACTCTGACAATTTTTCTTCGATTGATTATAAAATTATAAGTATATTTACGTATCGTGCGATTTATGTATCAAAACAGAATAGGCAATTTTTGGAGAATAAACGATTTCTTTGACAATTCACTTCATTTATTGGTTTCATTTAAAATTTCATCTACTTTGACATATATACATATATACATATGTGCATAGATATGCCGTAGATATATGTACATATACACACGCATCTTCGGAACTCGATTAAATGTAAGGATATTTCTGTTTTCTATAAAAAAAAAAAAAAAAAATACCTCGCGTCATTCGGATAAACGCTAATAATAGGAAATAAAACAGAAGAGAACAATATTTTTATAATAAATAAATACTTCGTCGTATTCATACTTTGCATGCCCACCAATTTTGGTTGTAACTTCAATATTCGGCTCCTTTTTTCGATAGATCGAACAAAATCTGCTCGAAAAGGAAAAATGCCCAGGAATATTTTTAGCGATGCCTAAATTCGACGATAATATCGGCCAATTATGGCACAACCCAATTCCAAAGATACAATGATTCAAAACCAATTTCTCGCAGATGCAATGGATGTTAAAAGTATTCGTACACCCGACAATTTCAAACAGCACTTCGTAGAAGTATAGTTTTTTAACAACGTTATTTCATAAAAAAAAAGATTTGTACATATTCCTTCAAAGCTCTAGATATACAGATAATAGACATATTATTGTAGGATTTCCAGCTAGGTTAATCCTATGCAAACCGAGATCTGCGCGTCTAATGAACAACTCCTTCTTAGTAATAAAACTGATTTATTTAATTAACATATTACATTAATTGTAAGTTGCTCTCAATTCTAACTCTCAAACACACGATCCTCTATTCTCTACGTTTCGAATACACACAATCTACCGCGCCCACGCCCTGTGCACCCTTAATACACAATTATATATTAATAATTTAATTTTTAATATAATAAATTTATTTTAAAGTCAAAACTCTCTCTTTCCATACACAGGCTTTCTCTCTCTCTCTCTATCACTCGACCCAGTCCTAAATATGTCATCGGTTCGCACGCACTCCAGGTATCGCCCTAAACGCCTAAGTCGAAGCCGATGTCGCTGTACATTATTCTCCAGACAGAGTCCTTCGCCGCTCGCCACTTCACATTATTCGAAAAAATACTTACTAGATTGTTGTTATAAACTGAAGAAGAATCGAAAAAAATGACGAAATTTCATGAAGTAATAAGTTTGCAAATTTAATAAGTTTACAAATTCATAATAAAGAACTATTTAGGATAATAATATTTTACGAAAGTTTATTTCAATCGATATCCCTTTAGTTCGATAACATATTCTGAATATTTTAGCGAGTTAAAAATTACTTATTATTCTATTATATGTAAATCTACGTGTGTGTTATATTTTATATTATGCGTTAACTGTAACATTTAAATTATTATTGTCATCTAGTTCAATTATTGTTTTCTAGTTCCATATTCTTTTCATTTCTTCTGTCAATAAGATACCTTCTTCTATTTTCTCTGTATATATAGTTTTTATGTTATTGTTACTGGTTGCGGCTATGTCAATGTGTGTCATCCTATTTATTATGTCTATGTATGTGATGTCTGGTCCATTAGGTGTAATTGTTTTGTCAGTAAATATCGGGCTATCTCGATATATTTTGCGCATATCATTTTCTATGATCTGTTGAAATATGTACTTACAGTACGGTTGTGTGCTGTTTGCAAGTGTGCATTTTTGCGTCAGTTGCTAAAGCCTTTTTAACGTATCGCATCTATTTGTGCATTTATTTGCCGCTATTAGTTTACACCTTGATAATTATACTACTATGGTCTAGTGACCCGGTATAAACATTGCATTTTCCACATTTATCTGCTGTTAGTGTACTATTTCGGAGAAAATAAGTATTAAGTATAAAATTCGTATGTGACTTGTTTGTCTATTTCTGCGTCTTCTACTATTTTTTACTGGAGCGTTTACTGGGGCGGGCTTTTACAGTCCATGTGTTAATAAATTCTGTGTTCATTGTGATGCGCAGTTGGTTTATCTGTGTGAGGATTCAGAGAAATATATCTTTTATCTGTGTGTTGACGATTGCATTGTGTAACCTACTGTCGGTTCTACAGTAAACGTATTGTTTCATACTGATGTTATTTTTTCTGTCCTCTAGATTTCTCAATAATTGCAGTCTATACATGGCGTTAGAGTACTGGTTCCTATACTTAAGTTTGTTATGGTTGTTTTAATAATTCTATCGAGTTCGTTTAGGTTTCTATCTATCGATTTTATCATTTTTAAGGAACAGGTTAGTATTAGTACTGCATATGTGTCAATTACTTTATTCTACAAAGTTTTCCTACATTTTAATTTCCGAGGACAATTGTTTCGAGAGGTACCGAAAATAGGAAAAAGTGTTTCAGACGTAAGATGTAAAACGTAGAAGCATCAAGACGTTCTCGAAACACTGACCTCGCTTGTACTATGCCATTACCGAAATATTAACAAATTATTTGAAGTTGACGCGAAAACATCGATACTAGACATCCAGAAAGTACAAAGGAATGAAGTATGAAGAAGAAAATATGGAAAGATGAGAAGAAATTTCTTTTCACGAGAATTCGAGAATTCAGTCCCCGAGAAGGAAAGATGATAAACAAGAGAGGGAGACTAAACGTAATAATGTTGTTGTTTGTGATTTGATATCTAGAACGAAGAGAACCAAGGAGGAAACAGGGAGCTTACTAGCTGAGAAATTCAGCATTGCAGTAGATGACTGCCAAGGTTACAGCCATTAAAGAGAAATCAAGATCGACACTCTTGATAGTAATGCTTGAGAAGACTGAGGGCAGGTACGCTAAAGGGGAAGAAATTCTATAACCTCATGACCGGAATGAAAAATAGCGTTCTATTCAGAGAAGGATAGTGAAAATTGTGGAAAAGAAAAGGTGTAACGGATGGGAGGTTAAAATTGGCTTCAAAAGGATTATTAGTATATCATTAAGCAGCCAACTATAAGAAAATAGTAACTATAAGATAATATAGTTTGTTAAAATGCTTACAATCTTAGTAATTTGTTTAATTTGACTAAAGATGATGCTTTAAAAAGTCTAACTAATTGTATAATCTTGTATATTAAAGGCATGTCCAGTGATTCAGTCGAGTAATTTAGTGATCTAGCGAGAACGAGCACCAAAATTTAGCCGAATCGCTTAGTAAGACGATTTGGTTGAATAGATCATCCATTCCGTTGGATTTTTCTGCTCGAACAGGTTTCCTCCACCACTCACTCACTCACTCATATAGGTAACTAGCGATACCTATCCAGACGTATTACTTTAGTCGAGCACATTAATTGCCAAGACGTCGCGTTGAAACGAGAAGATTACGTTACAGTTTGTACAGGAGTACGGGAATAGCGTGATTTCTATAAAAGTAAAGCAGCTAGAGAAACTGCGTACGAAGCTATGTGTCGATTTATGAACATCCCAGGGTTAACGAAATTAAAAGATAAATGAAATTAAAATAAATATCGAAAATATACATTCGATTACGTACATTTTTAATTCACAGGGATTAAAGAAGAAAAAATCGTGATTGCGAAATATCGGATTGTGGAACTGATTTGCAATTTATGTTCCAATTGTAACGTAGTTCACTTTATTTTCACTGTATTCGACAAAACCTTAAGAAAAATACTCGCAAAGTGATTTAGTAAGTAACTATATTGTTATTAACGTATAAAATTTTTATACAAGTTTTGTACAAATCTTTATACATGATAAATGTTAGTCTATCATTTTTAATTACCATATCATTGACCTTTTAACAATAATATAATTAGCTAATCTTTCACGGAATGATCGTGATCATCGATTTGGATGATTAGCTAATATTCTAGCGAGCGAAAGCAAATCAAGTGGTTGTTGCGAATTCCTTCAGCTATCTTCGAGAAACGATAATTAAGCATCTCCTGCTTTAAAGTTAATCCAGTTTCGGGAAAAGGCTATGATAAATAATATTGTAGCGAGAATGCGTCGTTATCGTTGCGATAAGAAGAAAATTATCGTTCCGGTAGCATATCATTTTCCACAGATGCGTATAAATTATATATCATTGTATCTTACATCTACACATATATCTAAAACGGTATATGTGGTTCACCGCATATATAGCCATTAGTATAATACTTTTGCTGCGTTTATAGTTAAAG